ATGTACAATATGCATGCATCTAGAGATTTTGGTCATCGGTGGAGGATGATAAGGTTGTGTTGAATTGTTGTGTATGTATTACACCATTGTTGATTGAACATCATATGTAATGAAATGCTGAATTACATTATATTTGTATACCGGTTGGGGAGAAGAGAGGGGTTGTACTCCAGTGTGTGTGAGAAGATAGGGGATGGACTCCACACACTTATGTGTTCAGCGCTTATAATCAGAGGTATCATACCCTTCCAGCTAGCGCCTGGAGAACTGACGCGCTGATAATCTAAGGTACCATACCCTTCCAGCTAGCGCCTGGTAAACTGGTAGATTGTGGTGAGAAGTGTATCTTTGGCTTACTACGCATATAGCTAGTAGTGCAGTGTTGTTTTGTTATTGTTTCAGTGTATCTGGAAACATTGTGGATTGTATTTGTTACAGTGTTGGAGGGACGAGTTGACTCATTGATTGATTTTATGTATGTAGTTGAGTTGTTCTCTTTTTTATAGAGGTGTGCATGGATAATTATGATATAATTGGAATTGCATTGAAATGCCAAATATGTTTTGAAAAGGCACATCTGTTGTATGTGTGGCAAATGGAAGAGTAACGGGCTTAATGAATCTATTTTTCCAAGTAGTTGTTAATGTTATAAAGATTGGGAACGGGGGTTAATGAAAGGAAAAAGGAAGGAGAAATCGTTTATAGCGGTGAATTAAATGATTGTTTTCAAGAAAAGTTCATATATATATTTTGTATAAACTGTCACATTATTATTCTAGTATGAGAATGGGTGTTCATGATCATAGCTATCTGTAATGTTGTTATTGTTAAGGAGCATGTTGAGTTCTCTACTGGACTATATGTTCATCCCACGTTGTTGAATCTTTTTCAGGTATTTAGCAGGGTGTGCTACAAGATTTGGATCTTCTTATTTGATGGCCACGGGGCCTCTGTTATGTTGGCGGAATGCCATTGTTGTAAAGGGTTACACCCTTCTTCTTGTACTTTTAATGATGTAAGCCCAAGGGCAATTTATTAAGTTAGTTCATGTAATATTTACTTTGCATACGAATGAGAGTATTGTTAATCACTTCTACGGATTTAATGTATGAGTTTATTTCCGCATGTTATCTCTGAAATTGAATTAAGTTAAAGAATTTGGTAATGACTCCGAGTAATAAAAAAATGGGGCGTGACAACTTGGTATCAGAGCTGCCGGGTTTGAATACCTTGAGCTCGTGGGAAGTGGTTTTTACCACAGTGGGTTTACTACGTGTAGTGAGGACGTTGCATATAGATACTCTGATTTGAACCTGAGAAAATCTCTGATTTAGATTGAATTTTCTATGATTTTGAGTCCAGAGAAATTCTTTACTGGTCCAGAGAAATTCTGAATTTCTCTGGTTTAAACTCAGTTTGTTTAATTTTCTCTGCCTTTAATTGAGTGAAATTGGATTAGACATCCACAATATTATGTAGAATCAGAGCATTCTCATTCTGATTCAGAGCATTCTCATTCTTGTGGACTTGATTCGATTATGTGTTTACATGTTTAGCTGATAATATGCAGTAGAGATGTAAATTTTGAGACTAAGTGTGTCTTGTGACTTTTGTATTTTATCATAAATACATGTATTTACAGATTAAATAACTAATGATAATACATGTATTATGATATTATCAATCAATAATGATAATACATGTATTTTTGTATTTTATTATTTAAAAAATATTAAAAATTTTAGATTAGAAGTTTTAAATTGATTGACCCAATAATATTTTTATGGAAAATGATATATAAACCTACTTTCTAGATTCATTTATTTTCTCTGGTTGAATTTTCTCTGGATCGAATTTTCTCTGGATTGAATTTTCTCCGGATTGATGTTAAGGGACCTTAGACATTATAAAAATATTGAGTGTCCTTTATGCTATAAAATCATAATACCAGGGACCTTAAAAAAAAAACCCCTATTTTAATTTGTTGCCACATCATTGAATTTGAAAAATAAGTCTAATTTTTGGGTTTAATAACAATACCCTATTTTTATATATTAGTATAGATATAGATTTCATACCATAATTTTCGAAACTAAAAATAGTAATTATATCATTACATGTTTTGAAATTACAAAATTTAAGAAAATAATATCAATATTTTATTGACAATGATTAAGAGAATTTAAAAATTAACTTAATTTATGTAAATTAGATTTTAGACTATTCACAAAATGGTATATATATATATTTTAAGTGTTAAAAAATTAAAAAATATATAAAAAAATTAAATTGAGGTTTCTAAGTGCAAAAGGCACAATGTTTTTACTTATATTATATATATGATAGGTATAATTTAGACTTTACAAATAGGTTAAATTACATTGACACCTCTTAAAATTTTTATTTAAGGATTGTTTGGGATGTCCTAAATTAGTGTATTTTTTGACTTTTTGAACTAAAAAGTTGAGGAAAAGATGGTTGTTTGAGATAATTTTTTAACTTTTTACGAAAAAATGTGTATTAAAAAATTGCATAAATTAGTATATAGGAAAAGCCTTTTGGCGAGTAGGTAGTATGGTGGGTAGTACGGTGGCAGCATTGTGCAGAGTAGTGTATATGAGATGTTTACCTCCTTTTCGGGTATTGAATTGGACGGTGTTGTTCGGCTTGTGGGGGCTCACCATGGGTCCCGTTTTGCTAATCGGAACCGAACAATGTGTAGAATTCGTTGAGTATTATATGCTTGTAAAAAATCACTTTAATCGGATATCGATAACTATCTGATCTGATTAGTTTTTTTGTCAATCGTTAACTATAATACCATCATTTTTTTATACAAAACTGTTTTGATCAAATAGTTAGCGATATTCAGTTAACGTGATTTTTTACAAGCAAATAGTACTTGACGAGTTCTACATATTAAATGGTTCAGATTATCAAAACGAGATACGCGATGGGCCCCCACGGGCCGAACAATATTGTCTTGTTTGTGCACCTGCCTATTCCCTTTGTCCAACCAAAGTCAGCTAAAGTACAATTCACGTGAGAAGTGAGTTGTACTTTTTTTATATATATATTTTTTGGTAACTCTTTGACTTTTTTGAAGGATGTCAAACCAGCGCTTAATACAGATTTTCCTCACATTTGAAAATTTTTCTCTCTGAGGTTTGTAATCTGATTACAAATTGTCTTCTGAATTATTGATGCCATACCCTAAAATTTTCTAAATAACCCCCTTCTTCCTACAATTTATTTTTCCTATCATCATGATTACATTCTACAACTTTTCATCATTAAATTCTATTTGAACATATTTTTATTGAGTGATGATATATAAACATAAATTTTATATAGAATTTTCAAACACAATGTTATAGTTTAATGGTGATATTTCACTTTAAAATAAAACACTCATAAATATTATTTATATTTACAATAATATCACTATCAAAATATTTTTATTATATTTTTTGTATAAATTTTTATATATGAATATAATTTTTCATTTTTATTTCCATCATTATATTTAGATTAGATCAATTTAATTTAGATATATTTAAAAAATATAAACTTTGTATAAAAAATTTTAAAAAAATTCATTGAATACAACAAAATAAGATAATGTATTGAATTATATATATATTTTTTATATTTAGTGAATTTAAAAAAGAAGTCACAAAATATTATACTTTTTAAGCATAGTTAGATTAGGTATATTTAAAAAATAAAAAAAATTGTTTAAAATATTAAAAAAATTAGTAAAAATTAAAAAACAAGAAAAATAAACAAAAAAAAACTCAATTTTTTGTGTAAGTCAAATCAAAGAAGATAATTATTGTTTTTTTAAAATGATATGAATAAAATATTTATATTTTTTTATATGTATAAAAATTAAGAGATAAATACATCATTCTAATCAAATAAAGGGTAAGGGGTGTTTTGAAAAGATAATTAAAAATTACTTTTTAACTTTGTTACGTGAGAGGAAAGTGAGTTAAAAATTCGAAAGAAATTTTTAACCCAATTTTCAAAACACTCATAAGTGAAAATTGTTAAATGTGAGGAATCTATATCAAACAAAAGCTCAGGAGGAATGTCACTGTAATTTTTTCTTACTAATAATATATAGTAATGAGAAATTTTTGTATATTAATAGAATACTATATGATACTATCTTTCACTAATTATAAATATATATGTCTATTATTATTCCCTAAATAATTTACATAAATATAATGGATCCTACCCTCAAAATCAATATCACATGACATGTACCTATCGGCGTACAAAATTTTCTCGCTGATATTATATAATGGCCCCGTTTGGAGTAGTTGTTAAAACAGTTTATAGATTATAACTTAACGAATTATAGATTATGACTTTAATAAGAAGTTGTTAATATGTTTGGTATAGCTGTTGGATTATAAATTTAAGTTTTTGAGTAGTGTTTGTTAAATAAGCTGTGAAATAATTTTTTCAATTAATTTTTATTTTTTGTTTGTCTACATTTCTCATAAAAAATAATAATAATAATCTATAGTCCATTTGGATCTTTTTCTATTTTTAAAAAAATAAAAAATAAAAAAATTTAAGAGTAAAACAAAAAGTTAACATGTCCACAGCAGAAGCTGATAATCAGAAGTAAGGGTGAACAACTTCTCAGAATCAATTTTTTTGAATTATAATAAACTGTTAGAATCAGAAACTGTTTGAAATAAATTTAACCAAACAGTCCAAAATAATTTTTTCAAAACTAAGGCCATGTTTGTTTGGGCGGACTGGATTAGCATTCCCATGACTAATAGTTCTAGGACTACGAATTCGTTGGATTATGTATCCTATCTTAACTACTAGTCAAGTTTAAAATAATTAGTCCGTACTTCAATTGGTTAACCAAATATCGGATTAATAATTTTATTAAACTATTAGTTCAATCCCAAGCTCATGTCCACCCAAACAAACATGACCTAAAAGTCATAAATTAACTCTGAAAAGCTAAAATAAACAACCCCAATAATAAATTGTTGGGCAAACCCGTTCTCGGAACCACTACGAAACCGCAGAACCAGAGGCGGCCTGCCTGCGGTGAGCTATCTCTTCTCTTCTTGTTTCCGCCGCGATTTGGCCAGAGGCGTTCCGCCGTAGCGTAAGAAAGCCCCACCTCTCTACTTTAACTACTCAATCACAAACGAACATTACATACACCTCACATATACATATACATACGTGTCGTGTATTGCTCTTTCATTGTCGCGTCGCGTCGCCTCGCCTCGCCTCGCCTGAACTTCTAAAACTCAAACCCTAGGCTAGCTTCGCTCTTCTCTTTTCAACCCCCTTTTCCTCTTCTCTCTTCTCTTCTTCCATTGTAAGAAGCTCTGGCTGTTCCATCTCACGAAGCTCCCTCCGATACAGGCAAGGCAAGATTCACACTCACAATGCACGCTTCTTTACCAACCAACCTTTCTTTTCTTTTTTATTTGTTTTTTTTTTCTTTTTTAAAATATGTTTGCTACGATTGTTGCCGTTTCTCATCATGACAAAAAAATTCGCCTTCTATCTTGGATTTCCATTTTGACCCCTGGATTTCAAATCTTAAGGGCCTTTTATTTTTTGGGTTAAAGAAACTAGGGTTTGTTTTCTCTGAAAGATACATTTGTGGTTTGGATTAGACCCATCTAATTCTATACAGTGCATGCTGTTTTTTTTAATTTTTTTTTGAATTTAAAAATTCTTCTTTTTTTTGCCTTTTTCAAATTTAGTTTGTACGAACAACAGTATTGTGACTCTTGTATATAATATTATATTTGCTTGTAGACTTTAGAATTTACATAAGCGTAAGCGAGTTGGAGATGGAGGATAGTGATAAACAGGGCCAGGAATTGGCGGTTGGTGTTCGTGAGAGCAACCTCGTTGATGCCAAAGTTGAACGGCAACGAGAAGAACATTCTGCTGCGGCAGTCGCAGAGGATCAATACCCCGGTGAAATAAGGTCAGAGGAGAAAGTGCCTGAGGACCAAAACCCTAATGAAAATGGTGCGGAGGACCATACCCTTGGCGAGAACAAGCAATTGCATGCACCAGCTGAGCCTGAAAATGATACTGCTGCCATCGCTGTTGCTGCTGAAGTTGACACTGGTCTTAAAAAGGTGCCAGAAAATAAAAGTGCGGGTCCTGATACTCGCCCTGCTAACCAGCTTGAACCTGTTACACCCAATTCCCTTGTGAAATGTTCTCACGCAAAAGCTGAAGACGACACTAGGGAAACATCCAAGAATGGGTTGAATGAGTCAAAGGTACACCCTGAAAAATCCACAATAGAGAAAAAAAAAAGAAAAAGAAGAAGACAGAAAGATGTTTTGAAGGTTAAAGAAATTGGGGGATTGAAAATTGAACGACATCATGATAATCCAGAGGTTTCTAAACAGCTGTTTCTTGTTTGAATTGCAGATGGCAGAGGATGATGAATCTGGAACAGCAGAGGACCAAGCAGCATTCATGAAGGAGCTGGAGAGTTTCTATAGAGAAAGGGCCATGGAATTTAAACCCCCTAGGTTTTATGGGCAGCCACTAAACTGCCTCAAGTAATTTTCCCATGGCTTTGAGTGTGCATATCAGTGGTACCTAGCTGGTTTTAGGCATGGGCTAACCTTTTGTGTGCTTGTCATTGGTGTTAGGTTATGGAGAGCCGTCACCAAGTTGGGTGGCTACGATCGGGTATGGACATGTCTTCTTCGTTTATGTTTTCTATATATTTTTTTTGTCATGATTTTAAAAGCTTCATGTATTATTTTCAAATAGCCTTGAGCAATTGAGTAAAAATCTAGAACATGATTAGATGTTGTTGATGTCTATAGTAGTATTAGCATAGATGGTGTGTTGGGAAATCTTTCAATAGTTGGAGTGGAGGAGGATTAAATATTCATAGAGGTCTGTTTGGGTACATGAGATGGTAAATTACTAAATTATTATGAACATAACCTCACAACACTTCGGGGTAACATGTAAATCTTTCTCAGTTAGATTAAAAATGTAAATGTACTTCTAGCGCAAAAAATTAAGCAAATATAGAGTAATCTCCTTGCTTCATCATTCAATTATTTCTGTAGTTCATTCCTGTACATTCTCCCTCCTAAAAAATGGTGTATCTATATAAATCAAAACATCTCATCACTACATTTTCATTCTCTAAAAAAGTAATAAAACATTTAGTAAGTGATTTTATTCATCAAAGTATGACACAAAATTGACAACTCAGTACGATACTGTGTACTGTTACATATGTATTTCAGTAATCTTGATAATGGGGTTAATATTTTTCAAAATGTTGGATTAAAATGGTTCATTAAATCATGGTTTTGAGCAAGTTGCTTTTGGAAATAATTTTTGAACAAGTAACAGTTGTGTTTGATAAAAAGGGGTGACTCAGTGTACAAGGCTCTAGCTGAAGCGAGGTCTGAGATTGCAAGATGTACGTGCCTTACCCTCATAAGACTATTTCTATGACTCGAACTCGCAACGGTAACGGTGTGCCTTATTGTTGGGCCAACCCATCCTATTTTTGTGTCTTATACGCTAGCTTTGTTCTCGCTTTATGAAATATATGGTTTAACAACTATTGATATTAATAAGAAGCATAGCGTCTGTGCCAAAGCTGCTGTAGCATATTGGTTGAACACTTGCATGGCATTTAAAAATGGGAGGTGGAATAGGTGATCGAAGCTGCTGTATTCTGTTGCATATTGATTAAGTGCTTCCATGGCATTTAAAAGTGAGAGGTGGGGTAGGCAATCGATTTTTAACTACATGAGTGTCTCATTTAAAGAGGCCTATGATGCTAGTATCTAAGGAACTTATATTGATAATTCTTAATTGGATTTTTCTTGCCTTGCTAGAGGAATAGGTGTGAGGCCGAGTTTTCATTGCTTTGAGTGCTTGTGATGTTGTATATGACCTAGTTTTTTTGGAACTTATATTAATAAATTGTAATTGGACTTCTACGGCCCCTTTAGAGGATTACACATGAGACAAGAATATGATGTTGGATTAAAATGGATGTGATACGGACTTGTATATTTTTTAATTGTACCCTGATCACCAAACAAGGAAAGAGTATTGTATTTTCCTCGATTAATGAGAAAAATGCTAGTTGCATGTGGTATCTTAATGCTTTTTACTATAGTGTACAAACAAATTATTATTATTTTTTTTGATAAATTATAGAGTACAGACAAATTATTATTATTTTTTCGATAAATTATAGAATTCAAACAAATTATGAAAGAAACTATGTCGGCAAAAATAAGGGGGAGGAAATCTTTATTCCAATGGAAGTGTCGATTATGGTACTATGTATTTTTGGAACCAAAAAGGGCTTATGCTTTCAAACATGACTTTATAGGTAAAAATCATTTGTGCAAGGCTAAATGAGTGGCTCATTGTTAGTGCCAGGATTAATATCAAGTTGGCAATTTCATGACTTGTATGAGTAAACTTAGGTAGAAAAAGTCACTACCGTAAGGGGAGCACATTGGAAGTTTGAAGTGCTATGAGAGACGTTCTTGGCTTGGATAAATTTTATAGAAGAGCTTCACTGACATGAAGAAAGATTTGGACAAGGGATGGACCAAGTTAGGACAAGCAAAGACTAAAAAAGCCTTATTTTTGTCAACTTGGTCAACCATGAGTAGGTCTAAAGTCTAGGAAAGTGTGTCCTATAGCGTGGTCGACAATCTTGATGGATGTGGTTGACCACTATGGTTGACCATGCTGAGAATCTTTTTTAGAAACTAGCCGTTTATAGTCATTGAAATGGCTAGGCTATGTAGTATTTTCTGATAAGAAAAAAAATCTATCTGAGTGCACATCTAAAAAGTATGGACACAGACACGTGACGTGACACGACACGGATACGACATGGACACGCCAACATGCTAATTTCCAAAAAATGCAGGACACGACACGTGGGGACACGCATGAAATATATAATTTTATATATTTATTATATGTTTTATATATATGTGAATATAGTATTCAAAGTTAATAAAAAATGCAATATTACACTAATTCTTATAAATTTATATGATTTTTGTTTTGTTATTGTATCTTATGTTGTTTTGTTCAAACTTATACTTAGTTTCAGTTGTGTCTAATCGATTGACATGTGTATTTAAGTGATAGACGCTTGTGTCTTCCAAATGTCCAAGGAGTGTCCGGGTTTTTTAAAAAAAAATAAAAAATATGACACGTTTTGAAGAGTGTCTGACTTGTGTCGAGGAAGTGTCTAAAGAGTGTTGGTGTCCGACACTGACATGACACGGATACGTTGCCTTCTTACAAGTGTCCGTGCTTCTTAGATGCACATACCCTTTTTACTCTCAAAATCACATCTCAAAGTTGTTCCAAAAATAAATAAATAAATAAATCACATCTTAAAGAGGTTCATACCTTTATTTTGTGTGAGTTAGCTTGAGATACCTTAGCACCTTTGGGTGGAGATAGAGCTTACTTCTTTGGAGCCTTGAAGTTCTCATCTTTGGAGGCATATAATTTCTCATCTAGTGTTCTTTTACATTTATGAACTGTAATTTGTAAGTGACATAGTGATTGGATACCTTTTGGTTACCTTTGGAATCATTTTGTTGGGTATAAAATCTGTACTTTTTCAATAAAGGAAATAATACATTAAATGAATTTTTGTTCCACAAGTAGTCTTATACACATTCTTATTTACGGTTATACAAAAATTTTGTTTTTAAAATTCATGGAAAGTTTTATCTCACTATGGATTCCCTCTCTAACGAATATTAAATTGTTAATGTTAAGATTAAGATTTAAATCATTTATCATCAAAATGTGTAGTAAGATCTTCAATAATAAGTAGATTGATTTGCAGTCTTCCTCATGCCTAGTTATGAAGCAAATCTGTCAGTACTCCAAATTTAGATAGACATTAGGTCAACCTTAAGTATATTTACTATGATGTAATATTTTAATTATAGTACTTGATTGAGTTCACCTGTTTGCCGAGTTTTCATTGCTTTGAGTGCTTGAGAAATTTTATTTATTTAATTTCACTATGGCTGGGATTTGGAGATATTTGTTAATATGATGATTTAACGTGTCCACTTCTACTACGAGTATTTGCAGGTAACTGGATCCAAGTTATGGCGGCAGGTGGGAGAGTCATTCCACCCCCCAAAGTAAGGATGTTATGATGGTTCATTTATAACTACACACATGAACACATATTTATACCTGTCCAACATGTACAAACTTCTTATTTTGCCCCCCTTTTCTCCTGTTCTTTCTTTGTTGCTACCTCTGCAATTTTTTGTTTTGAAGGTCCACTAAATACTAAGGCCTTGTTTGGGAACAGGCTAATTTAGTAATTTTTTGGCTATTTGGCTAAAATATGAGCTAAAAAAAACTAGTATGTTTGGGATAACTTTTTGGCTTTTTACGAAAAGATGTGCAAAAAGTAGAGAGAAAAGAGAATCTTTGACTTTTTGGTATGGGTTGTTAGCTTTTTGGCTAATTTAGTAACTTTTTGACTTTTTGGCTAAAAAGTTCGGTTGCCAAACGAGGCCTAAATAGACATGTAATCAATTTTTAGAACAATCTATAAAGCTATGATTACCAACGATCTTTTGGATGTTGAAATAATTTTGTGGTGATTAATGTCATTTTTTTTTTCCTTCTAACTATTCTCTGTTTTAAGTTGATTTCCTTTGATCCCCTTATTCTCTCTCTCAGGACCTGCACAACAGTCTCTTGGACATTTCGCATTTTCTATGAGAAGGTAATGCTTATATTATTAAACGATTTCCCCCTGCTAGAATATCAGTATTTTTATACGATTTAAAATGTTAGGCACCAAATAGGCAGAATAAGTGTTGTTTAGAATCGGTAAAGGCCTTACTCTATTCCTTCCAAATTTCAAGAGCAGCGGTCTTAGAGGTGTTATCTTATCTTTAAAACGTCCTTAAATGCTTTTATAAAGTGTTTTAACAATAGTTCTAAAAAAAGGGAATCAAATCAGAGGTCCTAAACCTTATTCAATAGTCTAAATCTGTGTGGCGTCAAATAAAAAAGGACGGTTTGTCAACCTATAAGATAAGGTGCGTTAGGACATGATGTGTTTTCAACTACTAGGCATTCCATGCATGGTTTCCTAGCCAACCCTGATGGTAGGACAAAGTTTAACGAGGACAATGGAAAAACCGTTTTTAGATATATATATTTTAAATCCTTCTTATTTTTCTTTTGAGAAATAAATATGTTGCTTCTTCTATCTTTTGTTTGAAATTATATATATATATTGTTTCATTGTTGTTTGTGCCTCTGATTTCTTCTGGTGAAGAATTTAGATGGCATAGGGAGGAATAGATTTGCATTGGAGTTTCTCTATTATCCATTTTCATTCTTTTTCTTGCCAATTGAAAAATAGTTGATTGAGATTAAGATGTTTGAATTAATGTAGGCACAAAAATGTATGTGCATGTCTTCCCAATGATGGGGGGTAGATGCCCCAAATAACTCGCCAGATATTTGGAAACCACTTTAAATGAAACAATCATATTTTGTTTTCATAAGGTTTAAGATGAACTTAGGATTGGTTTGGAAAGTGGCTTTTTGGTTTAAATGTGAGGTGAAAAAAATTGAAATGTTTGGGAATAGTTTCTTGGCTTCTTATGAAAAAAAGGTGCAAAAAGTAGAGAGAATGAGAAAGAATGAGACTTTTTTTTATGCGTTAAAAACTTTTTGGCTTTTTGACTTTTTAGTGGCTTTTTGGCTGAAATCTTAGCATCCCAAATGGACCTTTAGTACTATTTTCCTTTAGAATTGAAATCAGTTTATTTTAACAAATGTGTAAAGTGGGGTTATTTTGAGAGTAGAGAGAATGAGAAAGAATTTGAGACTTTTTTTTATGCGTTAAAAACTTTTTGGCTTTTAGACTTATTAGTGGCTTTTTGGCTGAAATCTTAGCATCCCAAATGGACCTTTAGTACTATTTTCCTTTAGAATTGAAATCAGTTTATTTAACAAATGTGTAAAGTGGGGTTATTTTGAGATTTCTATTATCTTTTTTAATCACTATGGTATCATGGCATGCACATGAAGAATTTGTGTTTGGATATACATGTTGTATATGTATGTGAACAAGTAAGATGTGGGGCACCACATAGCCTGTATGATTCGTTTGTCATTCTGTTCAACAAATCAGACAGGCATTTTTTGGATGCTGTTTTTCAAATTATCAGTGTGGCAAGGACACTGAGCATGGGCATGCCGTGAATGTAAATTCTTTTTGACATTTGCTTGATAGGCAAAATAATATAGTCATACATATATATATATATATATTTTGTATAAATATCTACTTTATTTGTTTTCGTAACTGTATATATTTTATGTGAGGCAAATATGTAATCCTGATTGATATTATCTATTTTCTGTAAGTAAATCCATAACTTTAAAAGATGATTCTCAACAGATATCATTTACATAATTTTTTATGGATACTACTAGTCTACTACTCGTACTAGAATTCTTCTCCCCCTTCCTTTTTACCTCTCTATATCCCCTCTCCTTCCTTCCCCCTTCCAAAAAAAAAAGCAAAAAGAAAAATAGATTCTCTTTCTGTCACACGTGTTTGACTTTTTTTGATCATGTGTGTGATATTGAATCCCTTTAGGAAAGTTTTTGGACATGGTGGGCTACAGATCTGACACATTTTTAGTAGTATGGTAGGAGTGTTGTGTCCAATAGTGTGGGTCACATACATGGTTCCTTCTAAAGTATCCATCCCTAATAGAATTGGTCTCCCCCAATTTAACCCACAATGATGTGGCATCATAGGTGTCAACTTTTGATTTTTCACACACTTGATCATATAAGAGGCCCAACTCCCTTGCTACATTTTGGTGGGTGAATTTGTGGGTCTCTAGCATTTCTCATCTTATGGTGGCCTTATACTTGATGTATATTCTTACCAATCATTGTTTGGAAAGCACATCATGCGCCATTGTTCTGGTGATTTGCTGCAATGCTATTATTTACAAGATTGTTACAGTGATCCATTTTCAAAAATGACTCTTGGTTGTCTCTTAAAGTGACCATTTGGTGTACACTATGATGTATGTCATGTGTCTTGAATGGGCAACATACATAGATATTTCTTGCTACATCTTTTTTAATCCTGCTGTTGTTTGATTCAGCAATTTGTAGCATTTTCTATCTCATTGGTTGCTCTAGCTTTTTATACTGTTGGCTTGATCATTAGGAACACTACCTTTAGGTCATTGCAAGGAACCTATTGTTCCCTGATTCTTTTCTGCTTGTACAGGCACTTCTGGAATATGAAAGGCAAAAGAGTCAAAGTGGTGAGCTCCAACTTGCTGTTGCAGCGCTCCCTGAGCCTTTAAGTGTTGAAAATGAAGTAAGTTTGTATATTTTAGTTTACTGACTTCAATTGATGTCCTTGAATGAACTATGTGAAGATTAAGTAATATTCGGTATGTGCCCTGGATGTAAGTGATTTAAGACAGGTACCTGTGCAGGTCTCAAAAATTTCAAAATTATATATGGTGGTTATACGGTAGAGGGCTTTGATTTGGAGAACATGTTAAACATGTAGGCTACCTAGGATTAGATTCCAGGTGGGTTTTGTTAATTGGAGTTGTCAAGTTTCTTGATGGAGGAATTATGCATTAGGTGCTGAGAGCATGATTAAAAGTTGCAGGGTACAAATGATTGTTGTGGATTCAAATATAGCAATATTTTTGTACAATTTAGAACTTGAATGTGATAAGAATGTTACTATTTTTCAACAGAAAGGGTAATGAACAGGAATGAAGTGGCTGAGTTGTGCGGCTAATTTGAAGGATTAAGAAGAATGTCTATGCTATTATTACCAATTATTCCTCATTATTGAATGTCCAAAGACTAGGAAAGAGAGGATTCACCTCAATTTTAGAGTATGCTATAGCAAGATGCTTATGCAAACTGCTTGATTTGTGAAAATTTTGTACTTATCCTGTAATTTTCATCTTTTTTCCTCTATAAACAAAAGCCCTGGTCTTTCAATGCAGACGTCTCTCAAGAAATCTTTCAAGTCCATGGTCGTGAAAACACAAATACCTAGTGGGAAAGGATCTGTCTAATCAGAAGTTGTAAGGGCATATTTAGATGTCAAATATAGTGTAGGTTTGCCTTGTAAGTTGCTTGCATGTGTATGCTGACCTTGCAATTGTCTTTTTTCATTTGAACTAGTGAGAGTTGTGCTAATGTAGGGCATTTCTTCATTGTCTGTTAATGCCCTCCTTTTTATACTTGGTAAGATAAATTTTGTCACTACGTAGAAGTTTGTCCTTCTATTCGATGGAATATATCTGACAAACACTAGTTTTTTTGTCATCTTTCGTTTATGTTCTAGATTTTTGTGAGGATTTTTTGGTCCCCTCATTTAAATTTAGGTCTCTCCTTAAATAATTTAATTTTCCTTTTTTACTTTGTGAATACATTATGACTGAAATCCTAATAAGTAGTGCACATCAACCTCTCGTACAGTTGGTCCACCTGTTTTCTAAATATGATGGTCATGGTTTGCCCTTAAAGGGCATGCTTTGATACAATTCAGCAGGTCCTTTAAAAAAAAGGTAGTTAATCTCAAAATAGTTATGTAATTAATATCAATTATGCACATTTTAATTATGTTAAATAGAAAACTGACATGATTTTAGTTATACCAAACTATTTTAGATGGAATGTTATACCAAACTGACATGGAATGTTAACAAAACACCAACAAGACACAACCAGAGAGAAACCACAAACCCATCTCTACTTCCTTACTCCAAAGAAGACCAAGAACCATGCCTGCAATATAAACAAACAAATTTATAGTTTACATGAACACTTCGAAACAATGATTTTATTTTTTATTTTGTATAAAATTATTTTAGAACAGAGCCTTAGTATATAACAAGTGAGAGCAGAAGCCCTACTCAGTATAATCATCAAAGGTGAATATACAATTTGATTCAGTAGTAGAACAATTAACTATGCACATAAAGTATCAAATTGCATTATACATGTGGCAAAATATGAACAATAAATATACCTTCCTTTTGGAAGATTATTACCTTCAATTTCACAATGTAACCAATTTTGTGTGCACGTCAAAGCCTCCAAAGTGTCATAAGTCGACTACAAGGAACACTTGCCACCATAGCACCTATGCTAAATGCCGACTTTGAAACAACAGTGGATGTTGGAATGCTTAAATCATCTTGACCAATCAACTTTAAAGTAGGATACTTAAACCATTTGTCTTTGAACAACTCAAAACATCAAAATCAGAAGTACGAGGCAAAACATAAACGGCCAAGTATTCTAGTAATGATCCAGCTCCTATCTCACATGTGCGGTTTGTGAACTATTACTCTCAAACATATCAAACTTGAAGTTTAAGCCAACTACTTCATTTAATTTAAACTTCACTTTCATTAGTTTTTAAAGGCGACTGCGTAACTCGAAGCGTTTTACCCCTCGTGAGGCGAGGTGTAAGCCCAAAAGGTATCGAGGTGTAAGCATTTCAAAATTTAAAATTTAATATTTAATAAATAAATTAAATATTTTAAAATAGTAAAAAATAAAATAAAATAAAGTTTAAATATAAAGGTGTAAATACTTTCTTCGTAAGACTTGCTTTGTTTAGAAAGAAAGGGATGATAGAAAATGAAAATGGCAGAAAGTAAAGTGAAAAAGGAAAAATAAATTAAAATTTATTTTCTTGCATCCATTTGCATAGATGAAAAATTTTGTAAGATAACGATGGAAAAAAATATAATCAATGCATAACAGAGAGTTATGGAGAGAAACATGGACAAAAAAGAGAAAATAAACTTTTTCAAGATTTGTAGGAAAAAATAAATTTCCCTATATATATTTTGCAAGAAATTGGGTTAATTTGAGTTGTATAGAAAAATTTAGTTTCCATTACTTTTAAGACTCTATTTAAACAAACACAGAGATTTTATTTATTTTATTTTTTTTTCGCCTTCCTATATTATCTATCTAACCAAACTAAGCGTAAGGCATTGAACATTTCATTGCAGTATAGGAAGCTTGTCTTCGTTAAAGTGAAATTGATATTCTTATCTTTAGTGATTGAGCTTTTCACTTGAGTATTAATTTTGTGCCTTTTTTTGATTGGTTGTTTACTCCTATAGCATATGGTCGCAAAAAGAGTTTATTTTATTTTATTTTTATTTTTATTTTTATTTTTTATGTTTAAACCATCTTCAAGAATATGTTTAAAAAGAGTCTAGGGCAACCTCTTCATGTGCATACTCCTTATGTGCTTATGCGCAAAAGGCATACAAGGCGCACACCTTAAATTGTGATGTGCAAGCCTTTGAGGAGTATAGCCTAAAAATCAAAGCCTTGATGTGTTTTACCTTAGCCTCGAGGCAAGATGAGCTAAAACTTACGCAACTCATTCATAACTAATCTTATGAACTTTCTCAATCTCCCTTAGAGCCTCATAATCATAAATGATTGGAAAATAATACTCCACAAGCTTAATTTTGTATCACTTTCACATACTATCTATGGTTATCAGAATCCCGATCCGGATCTTATGATCCATTCGAGTACAATCGATCCGGATCGTGTAAAAAACTCCTTATAGATAGGATCTTTCGATCCTGGTAGTGGGATCTTATAGGATCGCGTAAACCCGATCTGAATCCGATCCTGTCTGATCCAATTTACAAGCCTTGTTTTGTATTGTATGACCTATTTTATTGTAAATTTTATGTTTGTTGTTTAAATACCAATTTATGTGGTCAAAATAAAATAATAAAAATTAAGTAGTATTGAATCAAATAGACTAAGAAAAACAAACTAGGAAACAAACATTCAAATATTGCAGTAATTTAAAAAAATTAAATAATCGAAAAAACAAACTTAGCTTTAGCGGAGTCTAAGGAGGGTAAGATGATTGCAAATTTATCCCAATTTTTGGAGAGATTATTTTTGTGACTTGAATCCGCTCCACCAGGGATACTAACGACAAACCTTATCATTCGGTTAAGTTATTCTTTTGAGTTTTTAATATATTTTCATATCCAACTTTGTTAAATATTTTTTCTTCACTTTTTATGCATTATTGTAGATTGTAAAGTATTTTGTTGTAGAATTCTTCGTCTTCTTCATCTTCTTTTTTGATGAAATACAATACTTTTATCATCGAGTTTTCTATTGTATAATATTATATGTACATTTTATATGGAGTATTATATTTTTCACAATATCTTCATTTCTTTTTAATAGAATATAAGCGCATTTTGTGTATACTTTATAAGAAGTATTTATTTAAATTAAATTATTATGTAATCTGTCTTTTTCAGTAGGATCTTACGATCCTCGATCCGATTCTACGATCCGATCCTATAAACACCTCCAAGACAGAGACCACATTACCAAATCCCTAGCATCGCCATCGCAGTTCGTCTCCATCATCTTCCGTCGGTGTCAGGCCTCCTTCGTGCTGTGATGACTCAATGGCATTGTGTCACCTCTTTTTTGCGGCCAAACACCGTCACCAGTCGCCGTCCCACTAGACGCTGTTTTCTTTTCCTCTCTTCCCTCTCTCTGTTGCAGTCCGTGATTGAGATTCCTTCCATCCTGCTCGTAGTCCTCCATTGAAGAGTGTCATCATGATTTTGAATTTGGGACAAAGACTTAACTACTTTGTCTTGGATTTCTGGTGACATTTCTTCTTGCAGATATGGTTATCAGAATCCCGATCCAGATCTTACGATCCTACGATCTTACGATCCATTTGAGTGCAATCGATCCGGATCGTGTAAAAAACTCCTTATAGGTAGGATCTTTTGATCTTGGTAGTGGGATCTTATAGGATCGTGGAATCCCGATCCGAATCCGATCCTATCCGATCCAATTTACAAGCCTTGTTTTGTATTGTTTGACATATTTTATTGTAAATTTTATGTTTGTTGTCTAAATACCAATTTATGTGGTCAAAATAAAATAATAAAAATTAAGTAGTATTGAATCAAATAGACTAAGAAAAACAAACTAGGAAACAAACATTCAAATATTGCGGTAATTTAAAAAAATTAAATAATCGAAAAAACAAACTTAGCTTTAGCGGAGTTTAAGGAGGGTAAGATGATTGCAAATTTATCCCAATTTTTGGAGAGATTATTTTTGTGACTTGAATCCGCTCCACCAGGGATGCTAATGACAAACCTTATCATTCGGTTAAGTTATTCTTTTGAATTTTTAATCTATTTTTATATCAACTTTGTTAAATATTTTTTCTTCACTTTTTATGCATTATTGTAGATTGTAAAGTATTTTGTTGTAGAATTCTTCTTCTTCTTCATCTTCATCTTCTTTTTTGATGAAATACAATACTTTTACCATCGAGTTTTCTATTGTATAATATTATATGTACATTTTATACGGAGTATTATATTTTTCATAATATCTTCATTTCTTTTTAATAGAATATAAGCGCATTTTGTGTATGCTTTATAAGAAATATTTATTTAAATTAAATTATTATGTAATCTGTCTTTTTCAGTAGGATCTTACGATTCTCGATCCGATTCTACGATCCGATCTTATAAACACCTCCAACGATCCAACGTAGGATCCCGATTTTAACAACCTTGATACTATCCACTTAGACAACTACTCACTAATCTCACAATTTTTCGGAAAACAACAATTTGTAATGGGCTATACACATATAATGCTTCTCACATTGTTTCACCCTTGGTAACATATCTTTTCAAATAATTGCCATCTGCAGCATTAAATATATTGAATTCCATTGAGTTTTACAATCAACTGCTATCTTCTTATTACTATGAATGCTCACGTATCCGTCTCTTAAAAAAATTTGGTCCGTGATTATGTTGCCCTCAAAAAATGGACACTCATGAATCTTCTCAGTTTCTTTGCCTATTACCTCAAGCCATTCTTCACAACTAAATTTAGAATATGCTGACAATAATGCATGTGAAGTACCCTCCCACCCAGTGTTATTAAAGGTGCGCCTAGGCCCAAGGTTTGCGCCTTGTAGTGTTTCAAGCTAGGCGACTGTGATAAGGCGCCTGACTGGCCCAAGGTTTGCGTTTTGAGGGCTTTTTTTATTGTTGCTTTAACTAGTTTTGTTTAAAATCTGATCATTGATTTAATATGGTGCAACTACAGAATATCCCTACTCTTATTACAGATGCCAATATATTGGGTATTCAATCTCAAATCAATGATAGAAGAAAAATTAGCCCTAATTCTTAATTTCCAAAAAAACACTAAATGTTTAACATTTCATTTTGTTTATGTTGAACCCTAAATTATTTACTTATATTAAATTATATATATTTTTTTTCCGTACAAGGTGTGCCTCACTTCGGTGAAGCTTGCACATTGAGCCTAGGTCCCAGGAGACCTTGGCGCCTTGGTGCACCTATCGCCTTTAATAACACTGCTCCCACCGAGTATAAGTGAACCACTTATGAATAATTTATTAACAACCATACGAAGTACATTTGATTTTTGATTTTTATTTTTTATAGTTTGAGAGCTCTGTTTTTCTCAAGAAGGAATGGAATGCTAGCCATGTCATGAGGATGATGGCTTAATCATTGTTTTTCAAACTAACAAAAAAAGTCTTATAAAAATGCTCACTTCTCTAGTTCTGCATTAGGAAAGTAGTTTTTCTTTTTATCCAATTTAGGAAAGTTGTTCAAAAGTTGAAAATGTAGCTTTGGATTTGTTAGGAAATCACATTATCAATGCTGTATTTAACCTTTAATAAGGATTTGGTTTTGCTGGGAAGACACATTAGCTACACCCCCTCTCCCTCCCCTTTCCATAAATTGAATGTTCTAAATTACCTGTGCAGGCAAATGGTTCCCAAGCTCAAGGATCAGGCAGGGCAAGAAGGGATGCTGCAGCTCGTGCCATGCAGGGTTGGCATGTTCAGCGTCTTTTTGGTTATGGTGAAGTCGGTGAGCCTATTATTAAGGTCTGATGGAACTCCATACCTCTACAGTCATTTCTTTCTTTCTTACTTACTCATTTTTTTTTTCCCATAGTAATTTTGATCTATTCTGTTATATTCATGCATTTTATATTTATTTTAATTATATTTTTATATTGGATAGGACAAGAACTTCAATAATATGCCGAAGCGTGAAAAAAGTCTCAAAAGCATCGGTATGCTCCTAAGATCATTGTTCTTTAAATATTAGCCTACCACAGTTTTTACAGAACAGCATGCTTTCTCACTGAAAGATGTTTTTTGTAATAGAACTTACTAAAAATCTTACTGACACTCATAGAAAGAACAGTTAAATTTGTGGGATGTTGGACTGTATGTCCAACCCTGCTCTTGAGTGTGTCTATAATTTTTTGTAAGCTATTTGTAAGATATGTTAATGTGTACAGTGCTACACATTAGGAAGGCAGGGCATATAGATCTTATGCAATGTTGGTTCCCACTACTCATTTTCAATTTGAATTTGTTTAATTAACTCAGGTTCAGTTAAAAACAAGAGACCAACAGAGTTGGAGTATCCTGTGAAAGCTGCACGAACTGAAACAGCTAAACAGTTAAGGCGTTGATGATTTCTTAATTTATTGCATTTTTTTTTTCTCATGTTGTATAATGTAGACATTGTCTCCATTGAGCTTCATATGAAATTCTCAAATTGCTTCTTGTTTTATTAGTGGTTGTGATCATACCAGCAGCTCTTATTTTCTTTTTGGCATGCTTTGTGATCATACCAGAGTTCTCTCTCTCTCTCTCTCTTATTTTGTCATGCTCCATGAAGAATGTATCTTTTTTCTTTGTGTGCCCTTCAACTTTTAATCTCTAATTCCAGTTATTTGGAGTAGAGGCATAAAACCATAGAACTTCATAAATGATCTTTCTGGTTTCCTGTGATATAAAACAATTAGCTTTAAAAGGTTTTTTATTTTTTATTTTATATTATATATATATATATATCTCGACTTTTATCAGTTCTGGAGTGTAAAAGGCTGTACCCTGTGCATGTTTGATCTACACGAGAGGGCTTGCTTATTTGTTTATGTTCATTCTGTTTGGCACAATTCTCCGTGTTTAAAGATGATGGTGGACTTTTGTTTAGTCATCTGGGTGATAGTTTGGGTAGTTAAGTCATTTACCTTGCTTAACCTGGGAAATCTGATGAGCATGACAACCTTTGTTCTTATTGTGGTATTTGGGGACAAAACATGGTCAACCATTACTCTCAAAAGAAAGCTGAAATTTGTTTTCCTTAACGTCTCCTGGCAAAATTAACAAATGAAGTTCTTGTCCCATCATTACATGGTGTTCTTCCCCGGCTTTTGAAAATACTCTGAACTGTCTTCATTTGCTAGGCTGATGACACATGTTGCTGATATTGGCCCCCCTGCTGATTGGGTGAAGATCAATGTGCGCGAAACTGTATGTTTCTTTTAGAATTGTACCAACTGAAATACTACTACATCCTTGAGTTTCCTCTGTTGAAGTTCTAACTAGTTGTGCTATCTTTATGCACAGAAAGATTGTTTCGAGGTTTATGCTCTGGTCCCTGGGCTGTTGCGCGAGGAGGTTTGTTATTGCGAAACATATATTTTCTGTCATTTCATTCATCTTTTATGGTTCATATTTTTCTCCTTGCCCTTATTTTGATGTAATATAAAAATTGATTCTATAGCTGTTTTATTGCAAAATTTATTTGCATGATTATAGTCACAGAGCAGATACAGGGATAGTGATAATTTAGGGAGCCCATTTTAATGAAATCATTGATAAAATCCAGTATGAGCATTGATATGTCTCATTGATATGTTCTGTTCTTCAATCAATTATGATGCTACCTTTGGCAATAGGAAACTGTGTTTCAATAATTAATGTGGAAGCTCTTTATTACTAAGCCCTACTCTAGTGATAAAAGTTTGTCCCATAGGTTAGCAGCTCTCTCTTTCTCTCTCTCTCTCTCTTCAATCTAGGCCTCCTTCAAAGGGAAGGAAATATTGGACCACTGACTTGGGATGGGTGGTAGCCTCCCCCACCTTGGCATTTGATCTCAGGTCTCTAGTATTGATGACCTTATTTCTTTGTGGATTCAGGTGCGAGTTCAATCAGATCCAGCTGGACGTTTGGTCATTACAGGCCAACCAGAGCAGCCTGACAATCCTTGGGGTATCACAGCCTTTAAAAAGGTTAATCTTTCACTTCTTTGATGTTCATTGTCATTTAAGACATAAAACACGCATTTCATCCTGCTAGAATTGGACATGGCTCATCTACTCATGAGGAATAAAAGCCACACTGTGTCTTCTAGGCATTCTATGAACATTTTATTACTGTTAATCCTGCTAATCAAATAGGGCCTTAGGGTTTAACAAATCACTAGTTCAGCATTTCCATCTTTATATTTTGATTTGAAGTTTGCATCACCTTTGTATTCTGGTTTTCAGGTGGTGAGTTTACCTGCTAGAATTGATCCACTCCAGACATCAGCCATTGTTAGCCTGCATGGAAGACTCTATGTTCGTGTGCCCTTTGAGCAGTCAAATATCTAGTTTGAATAGTTCCTGACATTCAGGGGTCGGATTAATTGTGGAAAGACATTAACATTTTGGTCAGAGATGGAGCAAATTGCTGAATCACAAAAGCTAACCAACTTTGTGAATGCCTAGCTATGGCTTACTTTATCGTGTATGGTTGCAATTAGAAATTAGTTTTAGAAAGTCATGTGAATTTGAGGAAGAACTGTAGTTAGGTGGTAAGTAAGGCTTTTTCGGCTTAGGCCTCCCCAGTAGCTTTTAGGGCTTCATTGTAGGATTTATGGTTTTAACTTTCTAAATTAGACTTACAATTTCTTCTTCTTCTTCAATGAACATATGATTCGAAACTTCCATTGTGTTTTTGATGCTTCTTTCTGGTGATTCCATCTTGTGTTTTTGGTGCTTCTCTTCGGTGAGAACTTCTAGTGATCTTCCCATAAATGCATGTCATTGTGTTTTTCATAAGATAAGATTCAGCAGCAAACACCTTTTGGTTTATTTGGGTGTTCAAAATCAGTGCTGCTTTCATTCTCTGCATGGTTTATTCATCAGTGTATAAATGAACTTTGGGAAATAGAATGGCTACAAAAATGCTATTTCAATATCAAGTAATATGTGATCAGTCTTAGTTTCGGTCTGAATGAACCTTGAAACCCGTTCTAGGCTCAAAATCAGCATAGATTGTAAAAATCGGAAGAATTGCCAAAAGTTTAATCGGAATAACCGGCAAACCACACTGGAGCTTGATAACTGGCTGGCTTTGTGCAACACATACAAAATTCACAAACTCAAGAAAACCCAAAATTTTAAGGCTCACATGTAGGTGTTGGAATACGGGTAAGGTGAGGGATTTTCGGCCTCTCTTCTTGATTTGTCGATTTCAGCCATTCTGTGTGTCCAACTGTTGGAATCCGGCAAACGAAAAACACAATTCCGATGAGGATTTTGGCGAGTGCCCGGGCTGAAGGGTTAATTTGGGCTGTTCTATGCGGCAGTATTCACTCTCTCTCTCTCTCTCTGGTCTGCTTTCTCTCCCCCTTCCCACTTCAATTGAAGCATTAATATCTTTATTTCGTGAAGCAACATGTCAAGGTTGCAATGAGTTGAGCATTAAATATCACATGTCAAGGTTGCAATGGGTTGAGCATTAATATCAGGTAAATCTATGTGAAATTTTGGAATACGTGTTGCATTTGGATTATTTAATTGTATGAGTGAATTCTTAGGGGCAAAAACATAAATTAAGTTAATTATTAATATTCCCCCATCTTAAAAAAAAAAAAAAAAGTTAATTATTAATATTAGTAGTGCATTGTGATTGTGAATCAGCTTATGATCACCTTGCTTTAAATCATTTTTATACTTATATTTTTAATATATTTATGATGTAATTATAATATTATAATTCGATTCTAGTTCAATTTCGGTTGACCCGACGATTGAATCACTAACTCATGACCTAGTCTCTTTCTGGTTCGATGAACAGTCTTGTTTTCAAAACATTGGTGTCATCAATAGGACAGGTCAGGTTTACTTATCCCGCAATCATTGTATTCAAATCTCGTATATTATCTGGATTTTTCAAGTTTTGATCAGTCAACGAGGTGGTACGAACTCGGCTTATTTAAAAAATTAAAAATCACATCCCAATCACAAACCCAATTCTTATGGATCAAAACCAAACTTAATCAGACTACATATTTTTCATTCGACTTATATTGTTAGATTCTGCACATTTTTCATTCACATATTTTTAATATTTCATTAGTTATTTTTCTTTTTTACTTTTCAACATAATTCAAGTATTTTCATTTTTTTTTTGGAAAAAAAAACCTTGCTACATTTCTTATAATCAAACAACAATCAAGTAATCATGATATAATTTTATTTATAATACCTTCAAGTGGGGGTGAAAAAAAAGGTGAAAGGACTAAGATTACACAAGGCTAGAAAACCCAATTAGGTTGGGCTTTCTTACCTTGAATTCGATCATGTCCTATCTCCCTCAAAAACTTCACAAGTTTAAGCTAATATATCAAAATAAAATTTCAAACATCAACCAAAAAGTGCACATTAAATATCACACATAGATATATATATACAAAATTATTAATATATTTTAAAATTTGAATTGAATAGTTTAGTTTTTTTTATACATATATATAAAAAATAAATTCATTGGATGTGATAGTATCAGTCGGGCTAATGGGATGACCGAGTTGGATTCACCCATGCGGGCTCTTACTGGTTGGGTTCCTAGGTGAGCTCGAGTTACAAATATTTGTCTAAAGTCATAACTTATTTTTTATGAGTTGGGATGTGATAGATACTCAAGCGAACTGGGACACGTCATGAGTCAGATAGGCCGAGTTGACTAATATCAAATTTTTTATCCGTGGGCCATTTGATGACCCCGGGGATGGGTTTATAGTTTTTTGCCTATTTTGGGTAGGAATTCTGTGGAGGAGGCTTGAAGCACATAACTTTTCTTTTTGCTAGATCACATCTTCCAACTCCAAGTTGAAAGCATATATATATAAATCTTGGGAAATTCTATGGTATATACTTCAAAAAAGTGTATCATATGCATATTTGATTATGATTTTTGTGTTTGTGATTCTAAGTTATTGTGGTATTAGTTATGACGCATATTGTGATATTAGTTATGACATAAATTTAATTATACCTTAAGTGATATTTAGTTATAACTCTGTTTTTTTTTTTTTTTTGGTCCAGTTATGACTCTCACAAGATTGAGATATTATTGGTAATTAAAAGTCATAACTTGTATATGACACACATCCTATAATCTTTTGTCATTCACACGAAATGGTAAAAAAATCTATAGTTTTGCTTTGAGAGAGAGAGGGAGAGGCCTTTAAGGTTCGTTATTATCAATTTCTATCAACACAAAATGTAAAAAATGTCATAACAATTTTATTAAATGTTTCTATTCAACGTGAACAATTACAAGAATGTGATCAAAATTATAATAAAACATGTGATCAGATAACTTGTTAGAAAATCATTCTATATCCTCTTTTCACCAACACTTGGTAAAATTCAAAAATTGTTGACAACTTTTAAAACTTGGAATGTTTATGGATATCAACCTTATAGATTTTGTAATTGAATTTTCAAATGCAATTTGCTTACTCTGTAGTCATTGAAATAAAATTTATTTGCAAATTTCTTCAATTTTGAGAAAACTATATATACCCATCATTAAGATCTGAAGCAAGAGCTAAGAACAAGTAACTATATCACATTAACCTCAAATTACCCATTATTCAATTCTTGCAAAAATATTTTCAATTCTCAAAGGAGTAGTGAAGAAGAAGATAACAAAAAGGAGAAATTGAAACCGAGAAATAAAAAAGAGAGGAAGAATTGAAGAAGAAAAAGAAATCGAAAATGGAGATCGAGTTAAAAAGATAATCAAAACAAGTAAAAAGGAAAAAATCAAAAACAAAAGATGAACATGAAGAGAAGAGGAAAAGCAAAATAAGGAAGACAGAGAGAGATAGGAGGGGTTATAGAGTGAAAAATGAAACTTGACAATCAAGAATGAATTGAAGATCCAAATTATTGCAAGTTGCTTTTTCTTTTCTATTTTTTTCCCCTTCTTTGTAAAAAATATATATTTTTAAATTGATTTTGTTCACATGAGTAACCATATGTTTTGGGCTATGTATTAGGAATAAAAGGAGTACAAAAATTACTTCCCAGTCCCAGAGAAAGCGGATGAACAGCCAAATGTTGTTCCATATCAGATTTGGTTTTCATAAATAATTAGAAATACATAATGGATCACTTACTTATTTGAATCAAATATGTCCTTTATTTATTTGTAATATGAAAAAGTCTAAAGTGTCAGTCAACCCAATGTTATTGATTTGGTTTTCATATCTCCATACTCATCATCTCATCTCATCTCCTCCTCTATCATTTTTATATCCGAAGTTAAGCGTGCTAATCACATAGAATGAAGCCTATTATTATTACCCCAAAAAACCAAATTAAAATGGATACCTTCCAGTTGTAGCAGCATCACCTGATAAGGAATAGTTGGGGGGGGGGCACATTTGCACCTACACCCACACTAAAAAAACAAACACCGCCACTGCCTCCTCAACCACCACCGTCATCTGAAGATTGCTTGCGACGCAGCTGGTTGGATAGACCGTGCAGCCCCAGCTCCTTCCTCCACCTCCTCCTCCAATGGTAAACGTTCAAACATTGCATTTGAAAACGAAGCCGCCATCAAAACCACCGGACCACCTGAAGCCACCAACGGACCCACCACACTCCCCCCCACTATCTGTCCTTCTCCACATGACAAAAATATACACAATCCACCAGCACTAGGCGGCGGAAGCACCGTACCCGAAATAGAAAGTATCTGGAACCTCCCATGCAGTGTCACCACACTTCCTCCAGGAGCTGCCGCTGGCTGACGGAGAGTCACGTTTACGACGGTGCCACATCCACTGAGAACACACACTCCTCTTCCTCTTCGCCTGGCGTAAACAGACACGCTCTCGACGACATCAGAACCTGCTGAGACTTCAAGTAGGTCGGATCGGAGGGCGTTTGGGCTGTCTCGTGTTATGATTATTGGTGGCTTCGGCTTGTTTTTGGATCCCGGAGGACGGCCTCGGGGACGGCGGCTGGAGGTGGCGGCCGCATCCGCATCAGGGTCGTCGGTCTTCTGGTGGTCTTTGTTCGGTGAATCTGAGGGTTGAGCTTGAGTTGTTGGTTGGGACATAATTTGCAAGTGCAGCTCTGGTCTAAGGAGCTCATGGACGTAGCCACAACCTGACCTTGCTTCATACCCAGCCATTGCCACATCTATCTTCTCTCTCTCTCTCTCTCTCTCTCTCTCTATATATATATATATATATAATTGTAAAAAATCCATAAAACAAGCACATAAATCAAATCAAAGACCCAAAAGTTGGAATTTAAGAATCTGCTTTGTTGAATAGAGCAGGGACCGAATACTACAACAGTGGTCTCATCATGATCATGATATGGCTTCTTTGTTGAAGAGAGCAGGGACCGAAACAATTTTAGGGCAAAAAGCACTAGTTGCCTTGCCTATGATTTGGGCGGTTACAGTACAGATGACCTTTCAATATTTGAAAATATACAGACATTTCTTTGATTGTTTTGGATTGATATGTAATCGTCACATTATTAATATGTCAAAAAAATTAATCTACTCTTACACATACTCCCCCACACACACACGCACTTTCGTTATTTTCTTCCTCATTCTTTCTCTACACAGCGTATATTATATTAGGGAAAGGTTAGGGATCATGAAAATTTTGTCATGAAAATGATCATGAAAAATTTATGATCCTTGGATTACCTTGATTAGTGTGTGGTGTTTTATTCTAAGTGTAATCCAAGGGTCACAAAGCTTTCATGATTATTTTCATGACAAAATTTTCATGATACCTAGCATTACTGATTATATTATATCCAGTCATGCTAGGTATCATGAAAAACCTTTCATGAAAATAATCATGAAAGGTTTGTGACCTTTGGATTACACTTAGAATGAAGCACCACACACTAATCAAGGTAATCCAAGGATCATAAATTTTTCATGATCATTTTCATGACAAAATTTTCATGATATCTAACTTTTTTCATTTGCAATATTGTGTTTTGAAAAATCAATACAAAAGTAATAGGACGTACTCTTTTAATTAATTAAAAAACAGATTGGATTTTGTACTACGGCAGCGAGCAAACTTTTCCTTGGAAATTGTCTTTTTCCCTCAGGTCTCTGCCCTTTACAAGAATCTTAAAGAATTATAACCGACCGGCCAAGCATTTTGGCCTTTTACACAGCCTCTCCATTTCCATTACAAATACATAACAACCCTCCTCCCAAATTCTACATTCACCACCCTCTCTCTCTCTATCTCTCTCTTAATAATAATAATAATAATAATAATAATAATAATAATAATAATAATAATATTCAAACTACACAAATGTTAACTTAAATTGTATAAATAAAAATACTAATAAACCATACAGATAATAATAAATAAACCATACAGATAATAATAAATAAACCATACAGATAATAATAATTAAACCATACAAATATTATTTTTTATTTTTTATTAACACAAATTATACAATAAAAATAAATACAAAAAAATTTCACTAAAAATAACCAAAAAAAAAAAATTGTGACATATATTTTAGCATTAAAAATAGTTTCAAAAAATTATCTCATGATCCAATTCATCATATTTGATTGAATTTTCTCTTCTATTTATTTTATTTTATTTTTTTACAAAAATAAAACTAATTTGTTAAAGAAAGGATCATTTTCTTATGATTCTATAAATAAAATGTATAATAAAGTTTAGTAAAATATAATCAAGTGTTTCCCCTCCAATATTGTTTGTAAAAGACATTTCAATATTCAAATAACAAATTGTATAGTTTAAAAAAAATCAACAAGACACTATAGAGTGGAAGACAAATTAAACAAATAAATATTCGATTAAATCAAAAATAAAAAATTAATATATAGCGATCCCGGTTTAAAAACCCGACTCTTGTGGTATACCAGACTCAGGTTTAATACTTTCATATTGTTATTTACCTCTTGCTTCCTTTGTACCTCTTTGAAGTTGGCTTTTGGGTTGTTGTGGTTGTGTTTGGACAGGTTGGTCGCTTGTCTTTCAAACCTTATGTTGCTCAGACTAATAAATTGTATTATAAAATTTAACGAAAATTATTTTTGATTAAATAAAAAATAAAAAATAAAATAAATAAGAGATAAAAATATAATTAAAAAAATAAGCAAATTAAAAAAAATTAAAATAAAAGGGAGAAGGAGTACTAATTGTTTCACGATGGTTTCACTTTTTCCTCTAATTTGAGTGGAATATAATATCTATTTCATAACATTGTCTTATATAGGGAAGGGTAGGGTCATTTTAATCTATTGGTCAAACCATTTTTTAGAGGAAAAATTGTCAAGCGGACCAATACATGCAAATGGGGGTGCGTGTAGTCCACTTGCTATTTGTTTGGATGGAAAAAATAATAATTGTAGATCAATTCAAAACTATAAGAGAGGTGTTTGCATATTTCCAAATGGCATGAGTCATCTGCAATAATCCAAAACCACAAGGGATTAAGTGGTCTTTGCCTTCAATTTTATATTAAGTACGAAATTGTAAATTTGACCCATGAGCCAAGATTTGGAAATACCACCAATTTCTAAGTGCTTTTTGTCTTTAATTTTATATTAAGAACACGAAATCATAAATCTGACCCATGAGCCCAAGATTTAGAAATACCACCAATTTCTAAGCTTGCTCGCACCCTGCGTGGGCTCGGCCCGAGACCTTGAGTCTAGACTTGGGCCATTTGTTTTGGAGCCTTGCCTGACCTTGACCCAACCCGAAAATTTTTGCCCCTGCTAGTCCGGCTCGGCCCCACTCAGTCCTGCCAGGAAAAATTTCTCCCTCGCCGGCTCGACCCGACCCACACAACAGCTTTCTCCTTCCTATCCACTGTGCAATGGTAAAAAATTCAAAAAAGAAGTCAAACGGTCATTTGACCGTTATTTTCGCAACAGCCGGGAAACACTTTTATTTATTCATTAACCCCCCCCCAACCCATAAATACCATCAATTTTTTATTTTATTTTATTTCTCACAAATAAATCTCTTTCTCAAATTCTTATTCTCTCACAACTCTCAATTCTCTTAATTAATTTTAAAGTCTCATCCCTAAGTGACAATTATAATTGTCTAAAAAAATAACTTTTATCCGAATAAGTTAATTTTATATTACATTTACCAATTGATAACATTAATTATTTGAATTAATATTTATTAGTTGCTTATTTTTTTACATTAATTATTTCTTAACATATATTAGTTGTTATTTTAATTGATTGCTAGTTCATATATATTATTTTACTTACATTACTATGAATCCTAATATTCTTAATATTTATGTCGATATTGATCCATATATACAACATGAATATGTTTATTCTTCTTCTACTGTACCTAATATCTCTCTTCCAATAGTAGTATCATTATTTAGGGGCACATCTAGTACTGTTTTGGAGTATTTTGAAAGACTATCTGTAGCTAATCCTGATGGTACAACTGTATTCAAAGGAAAATATAAATATTGTATGCGTTTACTTATTGCTACATTGGCGGGGGTAATAACCATCTAAAAAGGTTTGATGAAAGACATTTACAGATATGTGGGTAATTTTCTTACCACACTGCCTGCCTAGTAATCAGCTGGAGAGCACCGGCAGAATAGATGGCTCCAGTAACCTGTAACAGAAAGAAAGGGCTCCGGCGGTGGCTCTTCCACCCGGGGGCACTCCGACGATCAAGTCAGTATATCTCTCAAAGATAATCAAGTGCTAAACTCACAAGCTTGAGTATAAAACTGCGTACCTTAGACCCACGGGGGTGCCTCTCTTTTATAGTTTACTTAATCCAAGTCCTACTAGAAGCCTGACTTCTATGGACTCCAATTTAGTACTTACTTTGGATTCCTAAATAGATAAAGATAAACTCCCTAAGAGCTTTATCCTTATGTTAGCAAAGTCTTCTCTTTTCTCTAGGACTCTTGTCCCTTATCCGCTTATCTCGGATTCCGATATCTTCGGAGATAACCTCAGCCTTGACGAGATAACCTCGGCGTCACAATTTGGACACGTGGCACTTCGGCTGACACGTCGACGTCACCTTGCCACGTGTTGGTATTCAGAAAATACATCCCCACAACTGCCCCCTAGG